CAAAATACTACCCTTGTTTTCAAAATAGTTTTAATGTTAATTCAAGTCAGTACCTCAAGTATGGTAGTTTGGGACTGATATAAAGAAAAAGGACCTCATTTTATAAAGCCCACAAACACGCTTTATGTCAAGAGTAGACATAAGACGTCCGCTAATGAGCTTTACGACAAGAGTTAACTGTTGAAAAATAAAAAGGAGAAAACCATAATATTAGAAAATTACACAACTGGTGTAATTTTTTGTACTAATTTCAGTAATATAATAATAATTATTAAAATCTTCAGTGGACAGAAAGTTATGTTATGTTTTTAATTTAGCTAGATATAAAAAAAAAGGTTAAATGGGTTTCATTAGTTACCTCTTTTATATAAAATATAGTGATTACTTTGAATATTTTATCACAATAGACCAACAATAGATCAAAATGTAAACTAGTTTTAACTTATGAATATTATTAATTGCTTAGATGAGTGGAGTACCTAGTATAGAATAACATTTTTCTGGGTACCCATTTTCCGAAAAAATATTTTGCTTCGGACATGAAATTAAAAATGTACCTATGTTGTTAAAAAAATTAAAACGCATGAATAATAATAATGATAAGGAATAGTAGAAATATAACTTTTTTCAAAAATATCGATTTGTAATGACTTTGAATCAAGTATAAAAATATTTTCAACAACCCTAATACTTTTTGAGGTAATGAGTGCTTGCTGTTAAAAGAATCGCTACGTAGTTAGTTTAAAACTATAAAATACATTTTGAGTAAATTTACTCACTGTAGGTATTATTTTAAAATTAATCAACTAAATAATAATTGTATACCAACTGCGTTGTGCGAATTATAACTTTTAAAAATAATTGAGAACAAGCCCCTTTATATAGGTACATCTGTTATTCTGTTACAATATTCAATTTAAACTTTGTCTTTGTTTATTATGGTGACTAAATTTTAAATAAAAGAAATCTTACTGTTGAACACTAAATAATTATAATTTAAACAACTTCTTGTCCAATTTAACCATTAAATTATTGTTTTACTCTATATTCGCGTGTATAGTTTTGTTATATTTACAGATGAATATTATATACTAAATATATATAATATATAGATATACAAATTTAGTATGATAAATTATTACACGTTACGAAATTGTATTTATTTAGCACTATATATAATATATAATTGTTATTTATATTGCTATTGCACTGAGCTAGGGTCTGTTTGAGATTGATTCCAGAATTGTTTATTGAACAACATATGATGTGTTTCGTAATTGTATAAATAACTGTTTGATTATTTTAAACATTATTTTAGTTTAATAGTAAAACGTTATAATTTAGAGTGATTTTATACTTTTATGTAATAATAGTTACGTCGTGGTCGTACCTATATATATGCGATTTATAGAGTAAAGGTAATCGAATCAGGCATGTAACTTTCATTCACACAATATATTATATATTAAGTAGGTGGGTAATATAATAACAATGTATACTACTATATTATTATATACCTATACTGTTCGATGTACATTGTAGAAAGCATATTAAGAATATATAATATATTATTAATATATCGCACCACCATTTGTCAAAAATGAGCGGAGGAGAATAAGATGATGATAATGATACTAATTAGGTACAATGATATAATATAATAATGTGTAGTAATTACGATGCAAATTTAATAACTTGGGTAGGTAGGTACGTATACATAATTGTTTACACGCATACGCAACGATAATCATCCCCCGGCCAAACGAAGGTCGCGTCCTCGACGTATGAATATAATATATTTCATCATCGCTATACGGTCCCATTATATAAGTACAATATAATAGGTAGATGGGTAATAAATTATTACAATAATAATAAAACAACAATGACCATAATGATATAATACATGTGTGTGTGTGTGTATACCTAATACGAGTGTGATAATAATAACAACAACGATAATAGACGACGTGATTCGGTGAGATGGCAGCGCCGGGATTGACATATTGCAGACGCGATACGAACGCGTTATTGTTGTACAACCACCGACGTGGAGACGCGAGCACGGACATGAGAACATCCTGTGACCGCGCGTGAGAGCCGTTCTCCTGTTGAACGTTCCGACTGCATATAAACTATCGTGTAACCTGCCGATTTCGATGTGTGTGTGTGTGTGTGTGTGTGTGTGTTCGTCTACATACTCGAATATTATAACGCGACGTGTGATGCGTATGTGTTTGGAGATATGGAAAAACGTGAAGTAGCTGGAGCAGAAGGGCGGCGAGGTTAGCTGAGGAGAAGAGATGAGTGGAGAATATACGCAACGTAGAAAAAGGAGATGCACCAACACTACGCCGCTGGTATATTATATTATATACCTATGCGTATGCGATGTTGAGGTCAACAGGTGACGGTGGCGCCATACGACGAATGCCGCCCACGATTTCAGTCTCTGGTACGGTCTTTTTATCCTTCTGTCTACATGCACGTACACAAACACACACACGCACATTATACGACGACGTCTCGTCCGTGACATATGGCTGCTGTTTGAGTGATTTCGTTATGTTTATTATTATTATTATTATGTTGCGTTGCCCTTCAGTTTTGTTTTTGTTTTCCTTTCGTCGTCACCGCTGTCTGAATTCTCTGTACCTATACTTCCATAGCTTCTATTGCTGCTGTGACCAAGTAGACGACGACTATGAATAATAATAATATCGTCACGGTGACAACATGCTACTGTTGCCGCTTCTGCTGCTACTGCAGCTACTGCACATCGCTATACATCCACCGCTAAAACGACTTTAGAGACACGTTAGGCGTATCCAGGTTCGGTTCCGGGGCGACGTCTTCACGACTTCACGCACTTCCTCTTCGACCTTTTTCGTGTCATATTATATGTTATAATCCAAGTCTCATGATTATAATATTGTATTGCGTTACAACAATAATAATAATATGGCTGCAGCAGTCGTGGCAGCAGTAGGGACAAAGATAGTGAATACAAACGATTATTATTAATTCGGAGTGGTATTCGAACAATTATTATAATCGGTTCGATGTATCTATATATATTGTATGAGATTTGAAGCGTATTTCGACGTTTTTGTCATTATTTCCATGGTTAAATCAATCAAATTGTATAACTGAGAAAATAAGAGAACGATATTATCCCTTTATAGTTTATTATATATAATATATAGCTCCATCGTTTTCCTATACTTGCAATTATTCTATTAAACAATCTCAAAAATCACCTGCTCAAATCTGTGTCTTCAGTTCAGTATTATAATATTCAATTTATATAATGGGTATCCCTATTTATTCTGGTCTAATCAAGAATATTATAGAATCACCATTTTATTCGTATAAAGTGTAGAGTTATCGATAATTTAAAGTTTTTTAAATATAATTTCCTTACAGATTATATGATGCGAATATATGAATTCTAATAAAAATAGTATTACTTTAATGCATTTTAAATATTTAAACAAGAATTGAGTATTGAGTAATACCTACTGTAAAAGTTTAAATAAATACTTATAATAAGTACGCGAGTGCGTATATTTGTCTAAAATATAATATCTTAATCCAACAACTAAAATATTAGAATTTACATAACTATTAATTAGTTACAATTTTGAATCTAATTTAAAAGAATATAATCAAATTAAGGCAAGACACTCTTTAACACTGGACAATGTTGTATTTTATTAATCATTATCATAAAATATGACAGTATATTTAAGTAAATTTAAATAATACAATATAATAGCCTCAATTATTAAATTATAATATAATTTATTATACACCAATATATATATTTTATTATCATTAATTTATAAAATGTTAAAACTGAAGAAATATAAATAATCGAAATATCAGCATGATGAATATATGTAAGTATGTAACGAAACGAATAAATAATAATAGATGTTCTGAATGCTCCTATAAAGCAATATGCCTTATTTAAAACAAAATAGAAAAGTCGTGGGAAAACGTGTCTGCACAAGGACGGAAAACTCTAGGCACCTACACTGCAGTATTCAAATCCAGAAGAATATGATTTATTGTTGTTATTATTGTTATTGATCAGACGTGGTTCGGTGGCGCCAACAACGACACGTCTTGGGTTGTCCATCATGTTGCAGTTGTAGGTACACATACACGCGTTTTATTTTATTAGATGTATTTTTTTTAAGAGCGCACATTCGTTATATTATTATCATTTTGTTTGAATTTATCTATTAACGTGATTGTCAGTACACGGCACTACGGCAGCATTCTACAATCGAATTAAATAATTTTAATAATATATTATAGGTATGTACATATAATTTAGGTATATTATAATGTATACCTATGTACCTATATCTTAATCTAAAGAGCGACATGCTATTGAAATGGTATCTCAATAGACGACAAGCGCAGTTGAAGAGCTATTGAAGACAAACCGGTATTTTTCAATGAACGTTCCCTATTGCTCGTGACAAGAGGTTAACACCACAAACGTGTTATTTCATCACACGCTGTAGAATAATCGTATATACCGTATATTCTTCGAACATTCAGACGTGAATTTTGGCGTAAAATAAATGATTCAAACCTAATTATTATCTGCACGCTGACAATTAAACATTATTATGTTTTTTTTTATTCACGCCCGTAACATCACCAGTTTGTATTATTTTCTTCTATACCCCGGTATTTATACCAACTCGTTTTAATAATTTGATTTTATTATAATATTACGTAAACGATGATATAACAATATATATTATGAAGTGGGTATGTAAATGTAAAACAATTAAGAAACAATAGAAAATGAATTGACTGAAACAATAATATAGATGGCGTTATACATCATATACCTAACAGCCAATTAAAATTCTTAGTAGGTACCAAAACTATTACAAATAATCCTAAAATAAAATTACTTTTATAAATTATTATTATATATTATATTATGTAAATTTGAATTATTATATTCATGTTACCTGACATGCAGCTATTGGGACTGAACGCTGGATTCTTTTGTAGTTGTGAAAATCCTAAAAAAAAAAATAATAAGAAATGTTGTAATAACTGTGTAGCTTAATTTTATATTATAAATAATATTTTTACTCAGTTATATATATATCACAGATTAACACAAAATATATGTACTATATGTGCATTTTTATGTTTAAGAGTTAAGGTCAACATTTTACAGTGTTATTGTTCACATATACCTACCTAGATAGTAGCGCATATATTTAATTTTGATGTCTATATTATAATATTACTGATCTTAACTTGTCGTCAACCTCTTTTCGCAATGGTATGATAAGTTGTCTAATATACCTAATATTATATTTATCAATTGATAGCTAAGAGTATTATAGGTATACAATACTTATATAAGTACCTACTACCTATATAATGGTATATTGCACAATAATTTAGACGGGGCTGATAGGACTAAACATATAGGTAGGTAGTAGGTCCTACGTATATAATATTCATTGGCATAAAAATCTTTTTGACTTATTATCCTTGGATTTCCCATGGTATCTTTACCCAATCGATCGCGTAAAAAAATCGTCTTTATATTATTTCTTTTATATCCATAAATCCAGTGAATTTCTGTGCAAACTGCACGCACCCGTATCGAATTACGGCAGTATAGGTTATAGCTGTACCTATAATATGTGTTTTGATTCGCAAAGGTCTCCGCGGTAATCCGACCTGACAGTTATCGTATTTCTTTGGTTCGTGTATAATTATATATATACACATACACTGTCTATTATTAAACTTAAATCGTTTACCACGATACACTCAATATCCTATATCCGGGGGTATTATAAAACGTTCAATAAAAGATTGGTATTTTTTTTAGGGGAAAAATAGGCGTTTTGTTTTCAAAGACTTATACGATAACATTATCGAAGAGAACAAAATATTCAATACACGGCGGTTAGACATTAATTTAAGAAGTGCAACGAATTATTTGAACCCAGCCGTTTAAATTTCTCATTTCTTTTGAAATAATAAATTGGTAAAAAAAAAAAAACGATCTGTATAGTTTGTGTGATGCAATAGGATATTAAATTGTTTGCAGGTTTTCATTCACGGACATTGTTGAAATTATAAATAAATTATTACAATCCATAATGCTCTTCGGGTTTTAAAAAAATTATTACATTTATTTCACTGTACCTATAATAGGTTTAATTGATAATTATTAACATTTAAGAGGCCCGGTGCAGGTTTTTCAAATTGTCCGCGATTCTATAAAATTTGAAAAATTGTGTTTTATATTTTAATTTCCACCTTAATTATAATACGTTTCCACTGATCTACTTCCCGATTCATAATTAGGGTGTAATATATCGAAAAAAGTTAACTTCACGGGAATAATTATCAGGCATTGCAGAATTATCGGATTTTGATAACTATTATTTTATCTAGAAAAAGAAGACTTCCTAAAGGCTACATTTAGCTCCGATTTTTATTTTTATTTTAATTATTAATTAATGGTATATATAATTTATAAAAAACACCTTAAAATTGTATTATTTTTTAAAACATATTATTAAGTTTGAGATTAAAATATTGGAAAACTCAATGCGACCTGTAGAATATTATCTTCTATTAGGTAGTTAAAAAAATATATCAAATTTGGTTTATTCTGCAGAACAAGGTCGTTATGTCCGTAGAGCTTATTTTAGTGGACAAAATTACATTGGCGCGGGGGCCTTAAAGTCAACGATTAATAATAAAATAATAATTATTATTTATTCTATAAGCAATGAGCTTGTACTGAAGGCTGTTAGGTACATATAACTCAATATACCTAAGTAAAGTACCTACTTAATGTAGGTTTACTACAACAGGCACGCAAACATATTTTATTCCATTACATTAATTAGTAATCAATAATTTTCCATAAAACTACACATAGCAAATTATATTTAAGGAAGTAACCTTTTTTACTAGGTACCTACGTATCAATAATTTAACCTGTTAAGTTGTACCTAATATTATAGCAATATTACCATGATATTAACTATCTTAAAAAATTCAAATATTATACAATACAATATGACTCAACGTGTAGCGTTTGACATTGGATGTAGTTAATTTTATTGTTTGTTAATTTATTATATTATATTTAGCATCTAAGCAATACTAAATTATCAATATTGAATATAGGTACTATAATATTGTTATATTATATACAATAGCCCAGACATTATTCTGTAATGATAATTTTATAATATTATTAAAATAATTTTATACCTACTATTATAAATTATTCATGATTATAATATTATAATTTATTAATTTAATACTTATTTAAACAAAAAATTGCTGTCTGCAGGGAGGTAGTATGTATAGAAAACATAATTAAAACTTAGAAATACCTACTAATTATATAGAGCACTGTTGATTTATGTATATTTTGCAAGTCATTTATTTATAAAATTAAAATACTAAAAGATGTCGCAACTGGGGTCTGGGGCACTACTTTTTATCATGTCTGTTAATTTAGTATATAATATTACAATAGTTATTCACAACATAATAATTACCATACTTATTATAAAAAACAATAGTTATGGATTGTGAGTGTAAAAAGTAAAAGTTAAAAAATCAATATAAAACTCCATGACACATAATATAAATATCTCAGTTTTATAGAATCTGCAAAAATTATTTTTGTATTGCAATAATGTAGGTACAACAATGTCAGCATGTGAATTACAAACCAATTAAAAATATACAGTCAAATTATATGCTTTTGCAGATTTGTAGCAAAAATAAATACCTACGCCTTGTAATAGTTGTTTTTTTTTTACTTAATGCGTACAACAGAATTTTGTACAACATTTTTTTTTTTTTTTTTTTAATAGCTGAACGAGGCAGGTTCTAAAAAGGTTATATATAATATTATTATGGTACAACGCAGTGTCTGAACACGTAGACGTAGGTAATGTAAAATTAACGAACATGCGAATAAATTGTATAAGCTTTAAACATGGAATTAGAATTCATCGTGGCCATTCCACCCTATTTATAAGGTTCCAAGGTGGCCGACCATGAATAACTATTTGTATGTAAAAATAATTAATGTGGTTGGTGGGTCGTCGATGTGAAGGAGTAAAACAGAAGTGAAAATATGCGTGTCAATTATTGTATAAAATAGTTCGCGTTGTTGCCACTGCAAGGTTCGATGTCAATTAACCGATTAAAAAATTACACACACTATAATTTTGTAGTACATACTACTATATATAAGTTTAATATTATAATATTGACTATATATTATTTTTCATTGTGATATAAAACTTCAGTGTTATAACCTATAGGAATATAATATTAGTAAATATAAAAAATACGTATTTTATACACGAAGTAATGCATGTTTATTCAGAGACGAAAAATGTCACTTGGAAATTGTTATGTAACACATTGTTATTATTTGTATACGTCATACAAATCAAAACGGTTCTGATGAAGGTATATCCTATATATATTTTGGACGGTCTCCAAATGTTTACATTTGTCGTTGGGTAGTATTACAAATTACAGTTTAATTTATTTTAATTACAGGCTAATGATAATATTAGCTTCCTTACACAAACAATATTTAAAACAACATTAGGTAATAAACAATAATAAATTTAACCAAATTAAAACAATTACACAATATTTTATTTGTAGATAGGTACCTAATGAAACACTAATGACTTTTGAGTTTTGTGTTAGACAAGACATTGAGACATAATAAATTATTTTTATTATTGTTCAACCATCCAAGAAAATTTAACAAAACGTGTTGAAAGAGTCAATTTGAATAAATTCGATTCGTGTTTAGCACACTTATCTACTTGCATTGAAAGTATATGGAGTTAAATTTTACAAATACACATTTTTTAAATGATATCTTAAAAAATAAAAATTGTCAATTGAAAATATAATTTATTAGACACGTCAAGACACTTATATTTTCAAACTTATTTTGTATAATACATGAATATGTTATAAACGTTACGAAAAATAAAAATCCTTTATTTGCTTTTCTTAAATGTTAATCTATATATTTTTTTATAACGACTAACAAAATATACCAAGAATATAACTTTATGCACAAAATAAATGTTTAAAACTTTTACTGTCGAAACGTATGACGTCAAAATTGCACGTCAAAATTGTGTAACCATGTTTAGTCACGAAAATTGGTTTATGTTTATAAAATAATAAATAAATATTTAGGAGGTGCACCTTGGAAATTGTCAAGTGTGTCCACACGCGAGACATGGAATATTATTTAAAATGTTACCTATGTTCCAAAATACTCGTATATTGGAAATAGTGAGAAGTGATAAATTAAATTATCGTGAATACAATATTTCCGCTTATACATTTGTTCGATACTATTGATTTAAATTGTATTAGGTGTATTTTGAATAAATAAAAATAAATCAATAATGTAGTACTTCATAATAATGTACCTATACACCATATTATAATAATATAGGTATTGCTTATTTTAATTTATACAATAAAATATATTGACCATAATCTAACAATTTTTTTTATTAAAAAGTATCTATAATATATTATAAGATGTCCAAGGAATTGTCCTTTTTTTTACAATATTGCATGTCAATAAGGCAATAACCAATAAGTCGTCATGAAAATCGTTATTTACTGATGATTGTACATTATGCAGTAAGTCTATAAAATACTAACTTTTTATATTGTTTTTATAAATATTATATAGTAGTAGGTAGTAACTAGTACATAGTTTTCCCGATTATTTTTAAAACTAGGTAAGTACTGTGAATTTTAAATTTTTACCTCCTAAAAGTTTCAACTAGATTTTATTTTCTAAAAGATTTTTTTTTGTCAAAGTTGGTAATCAGCGCGTTTATCTACTATAGCATTTGTCTTGAAATCAGTACATTCATCGATCTCCTCAGAATCTAAAATGTATAGGCAATGTGTTATAAATCATAATATAATTTATGGTGTTAAGTTAAATTATTTAACCAATGACTAA